GTTAGTATGACCATCCAGTGTTTCATATAATGATTTTAATTTGTTTGGTAATAAATAAATAAATGCAATAACTAGGGTATTTTTTTTTTTTGTTTGACAAATGTTTTAACCAATTCACTGCAGCTGGTACACATGGATTCCTGATTTTAAACTTCCTATGTGAGGTGCTGGATCAAAAATTTTTGTGTTAATGTTATCCATTGACATTCTACTATATGTTGACATACAGTAAGTCAGTTATTTCTGCCTTCTATGTGTCAGTTTCCTTCAAGATGTCAGAGACGCCTATGACAACATCTTGTTTCTGTTGGCAGTAGGTGCTTCCAATATTAGGGAAAATCCAAATTATTTTATAAGTTTACTAGATAGCATTGACTGATGGATTGATGCAGTGAACAGGAAAAAACATTAGAGACCATATATATACCAACCACAGTGGATGAGTTAAAATGTCATGTGATTGTTTCCAATCCAAGTTGTGAATGCTACGTACTCAGAGATTTTCAGGTCATAAATAGTCCCTGTGTGTTTTAGAACAGCAATAAACATTTTTAACATTGTTTAATTTTAAGATAAAAAATTCCAGGCCTATCTGTCAACATTATCACGTGGTTGCATTTAATTATAATGGCTGCAGTTGTTGCAAGTAAAAAAAATGATTTTTTTCTCCAGAAACAACTTTATCCATTTATTAAACATATCATTACATACAAATAAACATGTTGATAAATATAATAACAAAATTTAGAAACCTCACTAATACTTACTATTCTAGTCATGGTAAAGGAACATTTATTTAACAAAATTTTCTCAAACAATATGGATTTGTCAGTTTTTAAGCTGATTTGTTTTCTTTTCACAATAACTTCATATGGACTACTTCTTGAAGTTCTTAATTTCTAGTTCTGTGCTGTCATCAGATCCTGGTGATGATCTGTGCTAGTGCTGTAGCTTGAAATATTTTCTTGAAACTATTGCAAGTGGATGAAGTTTGATACATTATCCAGAATAAAAATGTATTACAAGTTGCCACACTGTATGGTAAACTGTAATGCTAATGATTGGGAGAAAAACAAAAAAAAGCTATTTTGTAAACAACTTTGAACACACATTAATTCACATATCCTATGATAAGTTGTAGTATTGATTTTGGGTGTGAGGAAACTGTTTTATCAAGCTGAATGATAGTTTTAACTACTTATCATCTATGGAAGGGTTTTCCCATTACCGTATCAATGTTTTGCCCACAACAGATCATGCACAAGGCACTTTAAATGGTGTGTGTGTGTGTGAGTGATATATATATATATATATCCATGTATAGTAATGGATAATATAATGTGTGTGTGTATATATATAGTTGTGTATAATATAGTGTTTTTATATAGTTATATATAATATAGTGTGTATAATTAGCTTAATTAGTTGAAATATTATGGTGGCTTTATTTGAACTCATTTTTACTTTAAGAAATTTAAGGGTAACTGCCTTCCCACAACTGGCTATAGACAGTGAAAGGCAGTAGAACCTGGGATGTTGTGGGTGTAAGCACTCAGCTTCGTAACCTTATTTGATTGATTTTTTTAAATTATTTTTCATGATGGCTGACTAGATTGACATTGGCGTATGGATTTTGTCTGATAGATGGGATATCCCCAACGCATTTGGGTGTTATTACCACAGACATTATC